AATTTCAGTTTTGAAATTGTCATAAGTTTCTAGAACATTCGATAATTTCCTCGATGGACGGAAAAATATTGTGACGAATTACCGAATTCTATTTCTACCTGTGTGTTTCTGAAGATAAAACAGTAATTCCCATATTTAAGGCGTTATCTTTCTTTATTAAATTGTTTGTCTCGGCCGCGGTTGAAATTCCGACTTTTTCTGGGTTCCTTGATTGCAGTCAAAATCATTTCAAATGTTTTCCTTTTCTCTAATCACGGTCGCAATACCCTCATTTGTATATTAAAAATTTAATGATTGAAATTTTGCAAACCGCGACCAAGATAAACATCATCGTTGATGAATTGTAATCTTAAATCGACCCCGAGCTCTGAGATAAAGTCGAAGAATTCCTTCCAAAATGGCAGCACTTTCCTTGCTCGTTACTGCCAATGTCATCGTCTACATTGAGCAATAGCAGTTATGAGCGTCCTCGTTTACAACCCTCTTTAGTGCATACGAAGCTTTTTACTTCGGTACAGTTCTTGCCAAGTTTTGGCGCATTTCCCGTACTTCATTAATGATACAGGGTACATTACCCCCGTTGAGGATAGTATTCAAAAAGAGGATCAGAATAATGCAGTGGGCAAGCACGAGCCCTTGTTTTTGGAAATTTTTTGGTCACTCTGTTCTATTTGGCGTTCTTATGGAAGATAGAAGTTCATATTGCATCTATATTATTTATAAGATTTCAAAAATTGCAAAAATAATATACTAAGATGCATCCACTGAAAAAATTATATGCTGTTTTAGCACCTAGGATGTCAAAAATGACTGTGTCTAGTGATTCCAAGATGCTGCCTCTACTGCTCTGGCAGTTAACTTTACATCCTATGAATGCAAATTCAACTGCGTGGGCAATCAAGGTGGTATTTTAGGACCACCAGACACATTTTTGACATCCTAGGTGCTAAAATAGCATACCGTTTCTTCAGTGGTTGTACGAGTATATCCTAACGAAGAAGGAAAAGAGTGTTTGTCCCAGTGGTGATGTCGCAGTTTGACACCGTAATCAGTGAACATACCATAGCAATCTTGTTCTGTAGTTCGCGACACCGAAAACTGAAATCGGGAAATTATCAAAACAGATCAAGCCGACAAGATGTTGAAGCCTCTATGTTTCCACTAAGTTCAGTGCCCGACAAAATAGTCCTTGGGGAGGAATTAAGGATTTCGAGTAAATTAGTCGATGAGGAAGTTGAGCCACTTTCGATCTGCGTTTCAACACTTTGTTTCAAACTGCGGTTAATTTTAGCACAAATTTGCCTTTCATTGATTTATTATTCCGTCTCGAGACGGGAATAAAGGGGACGGGCGAGGTTGAGTGTCCGATCTGAGAGATGAGGCCTTTCATGCTCATTTTGTTTATTGTAAAAGTTGTTTGAACTTCATCGTATCCCTTTTTTAGCCGCGCGCCCTTGATTTCTGCCCCTTTGTCTGCCGTCGATGCTCATTTTTTAGTCTATGCTTCTCAAAAGTCTGGAATCTTCATCAAAAGTTACATGTATAGAATTGTAAGAACCAGCCTTCCTTTATTTTTTCATCAAAACGCCGACTACGTCATCATTCTCCTTCTCCAATAATTAGCTTTCCTCGCATCCTGGCACTTTAACGGAGTTCAAAATCTGATCTTTAAAAAAGGGTTGCTTTGTGCCTGCTTCATTCCGAAGAAAAACTCGATTGTCTGATTTCAATTTTTAGTCTTTAGCCTCTGTGCCGATAATACTTCCGATATCAAGCCCCGATACATTTTCTGTTTACAACTTTGGCTATGGATACGCCGAAGGCAATTACTCAAATCAGGCATCTTATCAAATGCCTAGGCCGGTAGTAAAATTTTGACAGGTTACGGAATTCTGTAAATTTATGACGAGGAGTTCACGGGTTTTCAATATTTTGGGAAGAATACCTCTTCAAATCCGAGGTTTCTCTTTGTTCCTTCCTTTTTACATGCATCTATTATACATTTAAATGTTAAAATTTTAAAAATTCTACATATATATTTTATGACGTGCTGAAAATTTCATAATAAATGTGCATTTAGGATCATAAAATCGTTTAAATAACTATTGTATGCTCCATATTTTTACAGATAATTCTTTCTTACTGGTAAAAATCAAAATTTTAATCTAAGTAAGAATATTTGACAATTGGCCAAGGCATTTGACAAACTGCCTGATTTGACTATTTTCCTTCGACAGATATATGTGTGGAAAAGCTTCCTCACGTCTGTAAATTTTCACAAAGAAAAGTTCCTTGAGGCTAATGCTAAAAAAAATTGTACTTGAAGCGAGTCCCCTTTCCAGCGGTTTTGGAATTGAAAGGATCGTTATTAACACTTACCAGTTTGAAGGTTCTCCACCGCCGTCTTGGGAAACCGTCTTGCTCAACCTCTCATCCCACCTCTGTCCCTCTTTTCATGTCGTCTTTACTCCGGATGAATTTTTCATTAAACCAGAAATGTTTACGGGCAGATATTTTTGCATCTTTACGAAAGCATCTAAACAGAGACAGGCCTACAGTGTTGCCACACCATGCGGAGAACGTTCGATAGAGCGATGACCTCGTGCATCTTGCAATATCGGTATTAAAGTCGGAGGATTGTGGCAACTTTGGATGGTTATTGCATTCGGCGATTGCGATGAAAAACGAAACGAACAAGAGCATAACATTTGCCAAACGGAACTTTGTGCATTATGGCGTGAGCCCTGTTATGCATGTGTTCTTATGGGTCACAAGACTCACGTCATAATCCAAATAGTTCCGTTTGGCAGAATTACGTCCACATCTCCTTAAGTGCGCCGCATCGCCGTCGGCCTGGCGTCCGTCTTCATAACCTCCTTCCGTTCACTCACTTGAGTGTCCAATGTATTTCTGCCTCCTCGTTGCCATGTCGAGAAAAGAAATACTCTTAGTGGACCAAGGAACAGGGCCCGAATTTCGTCGGCAGAGTAAGGGTCGGCCGCAAGTTCAGGCAAGGATGTTGACTCTATTATTCGGACGTTGATAGGGGTGCAAACACGGCTACCCGGTCCACCTCTAAGGTGTTAATGGCTCAATTCTTAAAAGCACCAAATGAACGTATCTACCAACCAACCAACCATTGTGCGATTCGAGATCCTTCACTTATGAGGCTAAAAATCATGCAGCACGACAGATGTGCGTTTACGTGCCTTTGGAAGTTCCTAGGGGTACAAACACGGCTGTTCGGTCGAACTCATTATGCGGTTCGAGATCTCTAACTTGTGAGTTTAAAACTCACAAAGCGCAGAAGATGTAACTTTACGTCGTTGGGGGGATTCTTAGGGGTGCAAATTCGACTTTTTTGATCGATCGCATCCCACGATTCGAGATCTTCCACTTGTGAGTTTAAAACTCACGAAACGTGGAAGATGTGCGTTTACGTGCTTTTGATTCGTAGGGGTGCAAATACGGCTATTGGGTCGATCGTATTGTGCGATTCGAGATCTTCCACTTGTGAGTTTTAAACTCACAAAGCGCCAAAGCTGTAACTTTACGTGATTTTGAAGATTCCTAGGGGTAGAAGCACGAATATTAGGTGGAACGCTTTGTGTGATTCGAGATCCTTCTCTTGTGAGGTTAAAACTCACGAAGCTCGCCAGATGTGCGTTTACTTGCTTATGGTTTGCATCGTTCGGAAACTGAGGATGCATCGTGAAACATGTGACAATACGTGACAGACCCATGTTTGATTTTTACGATTTTGTTGCGGACGCTAGCATTCAACGCTAGTACAAGAGTATAATTGTCATCATTGGTTACTGCACGAGCTGAGTGTCCAACATTGTGTCGGCACGACGCCTCTATCAACGTATGCGGCCGATAGGAATCATGATCGATACAACTATTCGACCACTTATGTAGCTCAAATTGCATAGCCTTCTCAATGAAGGAGCGCTCAGTTGTCTGCTCACAATTGTACATCGTTTAAATCCAAGAGCTACCTATAAAGGAAAAACTTGCCCTTGAGTATGAATATGCCGAAAGTTGTATCAAATTCCATTTCAGGATAATATCATCGAAGATTAGAATTAACAACAGAGGCTTATTTTTTACGGTCTAAGCCCCACCTAATTTCTATAGCGGCGAACGATGGCGCTTTGTTTTTGGCGAGACACCAAGATGCGACGCAAAGCCGCATAACATTGCATTTTCTGGTTCATAAATCTTGCCAACAAGATACAGTTCCGTCCAGCATCGACACATCCTCGTATCCTCTTTCCTCTCAGCCATTATTCAACTGTATCTCGCTCGATTTATATGGAAGAGTAATACGCCATGAAAATTTTTGATGAGCTTCTAAAGGCGAGCAAAGTAAACGAAAATTTCCAAAAAATGTTGCTAAAGTGGCAAAATTTTGCCAACTAGGTCGAATTTCGCTTAAATCATCTAAATTAAAAAATCGTTCTTGTCATGTTCTCGTTGTTGTTCCTTGTTTTTTACGTATTGTTTTTTTCGGGAATCTCAACATACGGACACCCGTTTAAAATTGTGAAATACTTATGATTTCGTTTCCTTTCATGAAACCCTCATCATACTTATCGATTAAATACTATCATACCGTTAAGTTAAGTTTAGGTTAACGATGAAATCAAAATTTTAACAGGCTTTTTTCCAGGAAATGCTGATGTCTGGATCTTGATTGGGTTTTCTCTGCATTAACTGCAATATAGCGTTTCCCAAGTAGCCAAAGTTATCCAAGACTCTTCTTAAGGCACATGACTGGATAATTCGTCTACAACTTAAAGCGCCAGAGTTGTCGCTAATATGTTTCAAGGCGGAAACCAGAAGAAAAGTAAAACGGATAAGAGAAAGTTAAAATTATCCCCAAAAATACGAAAAGTTCGCCGTACCAAACACCCTTCCTGATCGCGAGCAATTATTTAAAAAATGAACGTGCATCTTGCAGAGCCCTAATTTGAAATTTTGTGTTCGTGTTGCAGAGACTGGGAGCCAGATGGCGTTGGTGGCGTCGGTGATGGAGGTGGCGGGGGCAAGTCAGCCCATAGACTCTGGGCCAAGGCGGTGGAGAAAATCACGGCGCAAAAAAATTCAGCTCTCTTGACCTTACCATCCCTCTCCAACATTCACGCACCCACTATTATACCAGCCGCGCACCCCAACTACCCCGAAGTCCGTATTACCACGCATGACTCTCCATCTAGAGAACAGGTAATTCATAAGTTCTGTCAGTGTTCCTACGCTTGATTACCAGTGGCGCGGCGTGAACAATCGATTATTGACATTTCCCCATTTGAATCTTTAGTAAAGGATCGATTATTAAGGTGTTCGTTACGAATGCCCTGTTTATCGATTCTTTTCTATAGGTTTAAATGGCAGATCAATCGATAAATCGCAAAGCACGCCACGCCACTGTTGATTACCGATATTAACTCGATCATCGGAACTTTCTCTGCAATGCCGACAAATTATCATGAGCGCTTTGAAAAGTAGGCTTCGTTCGGCGAATTTACGTAGCATGTAAGCCACAACGTGGTATTATTGAACGGAGATGAGCGGTGACAGTAGCTTCTCAACGCATTTCAATTTTATGGTGAGATGACCTTTAAGAGCGTGACTTTTTATTCGTCTATTTTCATTGCCTGAAGGACGCCAGAGCGCTTTTTCCAAGATATTATAATTCTAGAATCAGCCTTCATCCCTTGCGAGGAAGTGACCTATCACCTTCCTCTCTTAATCCTAAAATTGGCGTAATTATGCTGATAATGTTTTTTATGCTCCTTGGAGAATAATTCAGTAGAGTTTCTGGGTGTGGATGGCTGCTTCAAAGCGCGGCTACAAGTCGTTAAACAGCAAGAAAACGGGTGACACGAGTGTTGGGAGAGTAATTAATAACCAAATTGCATAGTTGCCCGATCACCTTTAAAATTATATTTCTTTATGTGGGTCGTCAAATAACGTTTAGGTTGTTATTTGCGTGTTAATTGAAACAAAAGGCGATGGTGTGACAATTTTTCGATCCAGTAAAATTGAAAGCTAATTATTGACACCGATGACCTCGATTTAATAATCGTTTAAAAGGAAATTTTCGACTATGTCATAAAGTGTTTACGCAAACACCGCGACACGCAAAAAAGGATCAATGATTAGCCCTCTGGTGTGGATAAATCCCTGCATGCGCATCAGTGCCGGCACATTTAACAATTTTTTCTGCGGCGAAAAATTGAGGGCGGGTGATAGGTTGTTGTTGGTGAGGGGCCTTTGTTGTGGCCTGGAGCAATTACCGCGGCGTTCCTGGTGTTGGCGCGCGGCGCGGCGCGGGCGGCTGACGCAACGCCGCACTGTGGAACCAACCATCGGAAGAGGTCGGACATGAAATTTTCTACTGAAACTACGAATTTTATGAATTGATGGATTTTATTAATGAAATACGAATAATGAATGACTATTCCGTTCAGGAGCAGGAGACCCTCCATTGGTATCTCGGCAATGATGGAAGTTTTTACTTTCGGGACTCCAACATTCAACCGCTGACTTCCCTATACTTGGTAGATGTTGAGCGACGTGTTGGGTATTTTGTTCGGCAAACATACCGAAGTTTGGTAAACTTGATTGACGCATTACGTCACCCGAAGCTCATCATCCACCTAGTGCGTAAGATGACTCTTGCTTCCGTATCGTCCATACGGAAGTGTTGGAACCCCGAATGTAAAAGTTTCCACCCGCGGGCTGTCTGTTGAAATTGATAGATAAAGCGATAGATAAAGAAGACTTGGGGATCATGGAGCGATCCTATTAGTTGAAATGGGTGGTTCCTATAGACCAAGGAAGAAAATTTTAGACTGACTATAGCATTTCTCGTAGGTTGCCGTTAGTTAGTCTATTATCTACCTCATTTGTCCATCGCAACCATGCACTTTCACCAGTAGGATCCCTTTATATCCTTTTCGCCTATAGCTATGTTTATCAATTTTAACAATCAGCTCAATGTCGCCAAGAGGCCAGTGGAGAGTCTCTTGTCTCTGATTTCGTCACAATCTATATTCTAAGGGATGGATCTCGAAGAAAATTTCACGAAAAAACCAATAGGATCACTTGAATCAGTGAGAACAAAAACAAACCAAATCGGTGGCTCGAAAATGCTCAATTTTCATCTAAGACGGTCAATTTTCTTGAAGGTCATTGAAGTTAGCGCATCTGTTCCAACATGGACCTTCAAAGGGTCCTTAATTACTTGTCTTTAGGTACCAAAAATCTTTATTTTAGACTGATTTCGTCGCCTACTGTGCAGTTTTATGATCGTCTTGATTATTTTCATTTTTTTCGAGTTGGTGTGTTTTCGTCCGCACTGATTCACTTTCGAACTTCTACGTAACCGAGAGATGAGCTTTTAAAATTTCCAAGCCATGTCCGAGCTTTCCCGTTAAATCGCCTCTCTGTGCGGCGGTCAATGGGCGCGGTCCGAAATTCCATTTAGCAGGAACAAAATCCGCGCTCTCGCCTCTGCGGCCGTGGCCGTATTGTTCGGAAACAAAACGCGCTTCCCGGCCCCGGTGGATCCGGCCGGATAAAAAGGCCACGGAACGCCGAGCCGCGTGCCACCCACTTCCGTTGCCAAATGACCGGGAAAATTGCTGACGCTACCGACAAAATTGCATAATAGCTACTGTTGCCCATTCGGATTACCCAGAAGTAAGCTGCTGTGCTAAGCAAGAACGCCGTATGAGCCGTCAAGCGTTGCCAAATTTCTTTCGACAAATCACGAATTTGCACTGGTGAAGTTGGGCCTTTTGCAAATTAAAAATTCGCCCCCGTCTTTTCAATGTACCGTGAAATTGGTCAGCAGAGAAGATTCAACTTTGCATTGGCTTTTCGTTGAAGCCAACAGTACTTACATGGAAATGTATGAGTACATTGCCCCTGTCACGCCGCACAGTGGATCGAGTCAATGGGAGAGGTCGGACAAAATTTAGAGACTTTAAAAGCTTATAACTCCGTTCATACAAAACTTTCAGCTTTTAAAAGTGGTCCCATCGGTTTCCTCGTAAAATTTCCTTGCAAAGGCACCCCTTGAAACCAAAAATGTGACGAAATAAACATCAAAATTTGCAGTTTGAGTCAAAAATTTCATGTCAGACCTCTAGCATTGACTCGATCCATTGGGCGCCGTGAGCGCTACATTAGTATGGCCCTATGCGTTACCCGTAAAGTTACCCACGTTACGTATTTATCTGCGCAGCTATGTCACTTACATGAATGGACCTAAAATGCATCTATATGCGAGTGACTTAAAGCTGTTGCAATAATAAATTTGTATCAATAGCATAAGCTTACGCTTATTTGATCATGACGGTTTTAGTAACCACGGTTAGCCAGCGAAGCTCAGCTCAGTTTTTCCGTATAATTTATAATATATGTACATAATTTTGAAGATACGGTTTTCCTCGGTGTCAATATTACAATTTCTAATACGGAACAAACTGGCAACATGCCGGGTTGCGGAAGAATTTCGCGGGGTGTTGTCCCGGAACTTAATCGAAAAGTCCGCGAGGGTGAAAGTTGCCTGGAAAAGGTGAAAAAGGCGCGAGTTTCGAATTTCTGCGGCGAACGTTGAGGCGGGAAAACTCATCTCGCGCGCTTTATCCCTCCCTTTTCTCTCACGCGATGCCCCACCCCTGAGCGACTGGTCACTTTAATTGCTCAGAGGTTATTAAATGCTTTAACTAATTATGACGTAGCGTTCGACTCAACGAAGTCTGCCCTAGAGTCCCTTTATAGAGAGAGTTGAGACAACGCGGCTTATGGATGTCACAAACGGGAATAAAGATTACAAAAATCGGACGTTTGCTGTAATCTTTGATCAACCCATTCCCGAATTCCTGTCTCTGTTCCCATTCTCATTTCATTTGTTCTTTGCCGTGCCTTCTATTCCCTGGTCCATTCCAGTCTATAATATAATCTTTGCAATTGGTGAAATTGTAATCTTTATTTCCGTTTGTGACACTGTGAAGGCCTAAAATACGGGAACCAATCATAAATGGATTCGCATTGTCTTTACTCTCAGTGTGAAGGGCAAAAGTTGGCTCCTTCTTTGTTTTCGTATAGAGTATTACAGAAATCCTGCACTAGAAGCACTGGAAGGTATCACTCAATTTAAGTTGTCTACCCATCTACCCATCACAAGCAGTGAAATTACGAATATCCGCCTGTGTATGGTTAATGTAATCCCTTGATGATAGTGGAATTCTTATAAAAAGAAGTTCCGAAAAACGAACGATTAAAGCCAAATCGTCTCTCTCAGAAAATAAAGGAAAATGCCACCCAATAGTTGATAAAAGCCGTCAAATCGAAACTTTGTGTTGGCAGCGATATGTCATCAGGAAAGGCTATAAAGTTAAATATTTAATGAAACAAAAGACCTCTGAAAAATTTCCCCATTCCCTGCGAGTGCATCCACGGCATCGGTGTTGTCGGATTTTAATCAAACAAAGTAACTTCTCTTCGTTGCAAATTTTAGAGTCACGGCAGCACGATTCGCCAATACGAGCTTCATCTGACGCATCGACCAAGACAACTTCATTTTGCACCCGTAAAAACTCCCCTCGTCTCGTGGAGTGGCGATAAATCATAGCTTAAACGCATCTAAAGTTGCAGTCAGGCCTCATAATCTTTTAAATCGGTGCAGCAAAGGAGCTTGTGCAGTTGGCAGGCTTTTCCTAGCTCCGAGTATAATCTTCCCCATCCCTCCATACCTCTACCCTCCCCCTCTTCAATCCCGTCATCCCCGGCCGACAGCATCCTTTAAGCTTTTCCTTGTTTCGTTATATTAATCATTCGCTTCTGGTTGCCACGTTATAGGAATTTCAAAATAAGTATTTGGATCATAGCGGAGATTATTTACTTTGCACCTGCTGGGAGGGAGAAGGGGGGCTTAATAAAATAATTTAGCTAACGCTACGAATGATAGGTTAAGTGGCATGATAGTTTAATGTGGTTTCAGCTTCAATGCGCATTCAGTTACGATAATTTTACCGCCGATAGCTACTGGTGTAGGTTGTTTACTTGCCTAAAATTATTCTTACGATGGTTTAATTAGTTTAAAACTTTCTATTGAATTCACCTACAAAAAAGTGCTCAAAACATTTGCCATGCCAAGTTCAATGGGGCAGGTAGTTTACTCTAATACTCGTATTTATATGAAAATCCGAATGTGATATGCAGAAAATATTCTCTGTCCGCTTTAGCGAACAGCATGCTCCGATATGTTTTTCATTTTAATGAGGAAAAATTTGATTGAAGTACATGCACGCGATCACAAAGACTTCAAATCAATAACTACCAATGGTCAGTGTGGCTGGTTACAGTCAGAATAGCTTCAGTATAACAGCCGCAGGTAGTACCCAAATGAACCAGCTATATAGGTGAAATAGCCATAATGTAGCTATTTTACATTTATTTTTCGTCACAACCAGTATGAAAAAGTAATAATAGTGAAAGTGACGTATGATCTAGCTTAATGACAACTAAATTAACGCCAGCTTTTTAAGGAATAGCTCATTATTTGTCTGTTTGTGGCCTTTAGCTCCTTTTCATTAAGATAGTAACCATGAGAATGAAACTTATAAAGTTGCTTCAGCCCAATACTGCAACATTGCAAATAACTGATGATTTAGTGCTTCTATAAGATTTCCTATTCTCAAGTTGGAGAGGTATGCTGCGCTATAAATAAGAATATCTTTGCAGCAGTTGTTTGATATTAAGACAAGTTTTAGCTCGTCTCAACAACTTTGTGAAAGTACAGTTCTTGCATACATTTTTCACAATAATAATGTATTTCAATCAAAAGTATATTATTTGTATTTATAATAATATTTTTTATTATGAGTTTTGGTAACGATATTCATGTTCGAAAGGTTGATGGCTCGCGCCAAAATTTCATTGAACTTCACATCCTACAAATTAACCTATGTGTCCGCACAATTTGAGTCTGCACTCATATTCGAAATTAGATCAGACAAAACAAAAATTTTCTTAGAAGAGCCGAATCAAGTAAAATTGAGTTAAATATAATAGAAGATAATAATGATTGTTGATTAAAATGTGAGGGAGTGTTCATAAATTACGTAACCCCCTTTTTCGGCATTTTTCACCCTGGTAACGCTGTTGTGATGCAGGGCCCTATCCATTAAAAAAAAATTTCGTAACACTTTTCGACTCCCTATCCCCCTGGAACGTTATGTAACTCATGAACGACCCCTGAACAGCTTAGAACAAGTAAATTATTTCTCCACAAATGATGGTTGCCATGAGTTTTCACGCAAGTATTGTTTTTACTCATTCGCCCCCTTCGAGTGTAAAGGAAATATTGTCATTGTTCCAAAAAAAAAAAAAAAATGCATCATTTCTAGGCGTTTTAAGGTGCCTAGGGTCTTGAAAACCATACTTGAAAAAATGTTTGTTCGCCCGTCAGGCGTATCCTTTTTCTGTGCACAGCCATATCTCAAAATCTATTTGTTCAATCTCATTCAAAAGTTTTATTCAATCCTTCAAACTCCTTCAATCAACTTCCAGTAAGCTATGTATAGTTCACCGAAAATTCTGATTCATTTCAAACTCAAAAATGGACCCTTTTGGTAAATAGACCTCAATGAGTATTTTGACGGAAAACCGTTGAATTTGAAATGTGGCAATGTCGTCTCCTATACCCCGTATGCTGGAGCAAGTCAGCGATATTTCGATAATATTTCATGTTTCCGCTGATGACCGTGACAGCTGCAAAACAAAAGTGTCACTAAGCAGACTTGGCTGCGCAAAGCGTCTCATCAACCACCCCTCGGCTTCTCATCGAAATTCATCGCTCCTTCTTGCATTAAAAATAGATTTGCAACATCAAAAAGTTTTATTACTCTTGCAAATAAACTGAACAATGCTTTTTCCAGGTTTTAAGTTTGCCTCTTGGCTTTAAAAACAGAAAGATATTAAACTTAAAGTTTTCCTTAATTAAATTGCAGTATTACGCAAAATCATAATTCAAGGAAAAGACTGCCGGAGTGAATCGTAAAGTTAAGTGATTTTGACTCGGAACAAATGAAGGAAAGATCGAAATTAATTGCAATCTGGCAAAGCTACCTAACTTTAATTATTTTACGATTTACTAAAATCATTGTCACTTTGGCCATACGTTTGAGTTAAGAATGAACATGGTAATTGTTTAAAAAATAGATCTATCGAAGGAAATGTGGCAACTCTCGAATGTTCATGCGGCGTTCTTTCTTAGCACGGCAAGATAGGAATGGTCTAGACCGACCCTTCGCGTCAGTGTGTGCATCGCAACATCTTATATCGAGTAGGCAACTATTCGTGTTCCCCTGTCATCATTTTTGCCTACACAATCAATTGAAGGCGTTTTGCGAAGCTTATTCGGCGCTGAAAATCGAATAATCCCGTGCTTCGTGAAGCATGTCTTGCTTTATTACATCAACAGCCTTTCAAGACTTCGTCACCTACCATACACACAAAAGTCAATTGCTTGGACTTGAAAACTTTTATAAACCCTACTGCGAGGAGTTAGGTCATGTTTGGTGTACTGAATTATGAATTAGCTGTTTATTTTTGCTGTTTCACAGATATTTGACGGTTCATCATAGAAACTAACCACCAAATAAGCTGTATCATTTGTGCGACTTAAAAAACTCTAAACAAATGAAGAACAAGTATGAGTACATGGTGAATATTATATTGTTTTCAGTTCCTTTCAGAACATTTTTGGAACTATAATTTTTTATTCTGTCTTTCTTTCAGAGCCCTGTAAGAGCAACGCTAGCTACTTTTGACGATGATCAGTTGGATAATAATTCACACACGGAAACAACGTTGAACGATTTCACTCTCGATTCTGAAATCAGACAAGGTAAGTTTCCTTACCCTCGCCTTCATTAAAAATTTAATTTAATAAATGTTATCTACCTCAACGTTAAATATTTGTAACATCTTTAGAGACCCAACTAAAATCGAGTTTTAGCTATAATCAAAATCATAATTACTTATCTTTTGATCATATTGTTTCTGAAGTGTTTGCTGCGAAGAAAGCAAACCGATCCCATGATACTCAGTGATTGGATTGATGGCCTTCATAAACAAAAAGAATGCTTTTGAACTTATTCGAACTACAATAGGTTATGATTCTCATCTCAGGAAAATTCAAAAAAAATGCGAGTGATTTCAGAGTGTTTAATACACATAATCGATGAAGTTTCATTAGAATTAAATTATTCAAGACACAACGTACCACTATAAAGAAAATACTGTCCAATTACGGTTTGAATGAGCTTTGTCAATTTTAATACGAGGGTCGTTCAAAAAATAATGCCCCTACTCCTCTGTATCCACACAAATGGACGCATTTTACCAAAAGTTCAGAAATTTTCTCTATGACAGCACTGAATCTATAAAAACCAAACCACGGAGATAGTCGGACGATTCTCATTTCAAGCCGACATTGAATTTATGATGGTTACCCCAATTACAGTACAATTTTTACTTGCTTAGCCCGCTTAAAAAAGTAAAATTATCGTAGCTCATGAATAACTTTATTCAATGCGCCTCATTTTCGCCATCTGCATCCAGTTGTGAGTAAGAGTTTTTTCTGAGGTTTGTGCGGGCGCTCTGGAATGCACTGATTATGCAGCCATAAATTCCGCTCCACTGCCATCTCAAAGATGCGAAGATAGGAGTTTACTTCATCCCTAAATCATTTGATAGGTGGGGACGGGGAACAAGGGGTGGTTTAAGGACGTTTCAGCACAACGGGATATTGGCAAAGATGCCGCTTTTCGTAGAGCACACCGCTAAATGGTATGGAGACGAGCTCAGCTCCTTTCCGAAAACACCTCAGTGGTTATATATTATTTTCATATCTAAGTTTATCGTAGCTTGTATCTTATTTATGAGTGCTTGCTATTGTCGTAAAATATCCGTGTAATGAACTGCGCCCAATTTCTATCAATTCCAAGAAACAATGTGGCACTACTGTTCAGGGTACAATTATGTGGTGTTCTGGATTGATTTTGTATGAAATTTTCCGAAATTGCGTAACTCGTCAAAACGTCCTTGATATTGGTGGGTCATTCAGCAATTAAGAACGTTTTTTAACTCAGCTAGTATACAGTATTTACACTGTCTTGATAGCGAAGAGAGCTTTACTCTGAAATTTTTGAAATCGAGTTTCCTTCTAAATTCGTCCAATCTCTTTTAGATGAAATCACTGAAATAGGCAAAGCAGAAAAATTCGTATTATTTGTATGGAAACGATCCATACGAGAGAGCCATAGGTGCGCATAAATGACGTAATTCCATACAAAATAGCCGTGAGTAGTATTATTATTCCAAAGAGCCAATGAAAACAGTGCTTTCAAGTAAAATGCCACCCTTGTCTGCCAATTTCTAACCTGAAAATTTGTTTGTTGTGTATCCAACACGCAATCACGAAAGCATGCAAAGATAACATTCACGGATGTCTTGCCTGACACTGGCCTAACATGAAATACGATACTAATCTTTTTTATAATCGTAATTAAATTGGTCGATTTTTAATCATACCATTGATTTCTAAGAGTCTATGGAATGATTGGTGGCAATTTAAAAAAGATCAGAGGCTTCTTTCAATAAAATTATCCGCCTAGACGCTGGTGAGCCCATTTTCTCAAAACTTCATTTTTGCACTCACGCTTTTTTCCTTCTCTTTGCCATCATGACAGTATAGTCCCAAAGCTGATGGGTAGAAATTAATCTTTAGATCAGCGTCTGGGTGAAAAATTTGAAATTCAAGTTACAAATTTTGATTAAGTAAGTTTTTTTGTCGTTTCGGAGCACAGCCTAAAGGTTTCTCTTCGCGCTCCCTCTTAAAAAATGAGGAGCGTTTCTCCGCTGAAAAAGCCTCTCGGTCGCGAGCGGTGGTGTTTAAAAACAAAACGAAACGCTTCGTGGAAATAAATATGGTCGGGAGTCCTGGACGAATTTTTCAAAACCTGGCGGCGGTCCGTGCCGCAATTTACCGCGTAAAAAAGTAATTTCGCGGAGAATGTCCCGGAAATAAGTAACTAAAGAAAACTGAAAGCGAAGCGCGCTGATACTCATTATTCAGGGACGCCTTGGGGAATTCTCCTTTCCTCCGATCCTTTTTCGGATGCACTTCCGTACTGCGAATATTTATTGCCCTCTCTTTATCTTCTTGCTTTACGTTGTGTTTAATGTGCGATCACTGTTGAGAGATTTTGGATATATTCTTGTATTTCCAAGCGTGATAATAAATTGGATATTGAATCGCATACATGATAACCATCGTCAAACTCAAGTAGCATTTTTCAACCGAAAAATTACAATATTTTGAAACTAAGTAGCGTTGTTTTTACGATTTTTTAGCGATTAAATCGCTATAGGATCATCAAAATCTGAGCGATTATCCTCAATATTGTCGCAATTTCATCTCTTTAAAATTGCGTGCGATAAAGGCGAAGTTTTATCTCAATTATTCACGATTTTTTGTTCGATTATATTGCGAAAAATCGCCGCCAATAGGATCGCTATCTTATTGGAAACGTATGCGATGAAATTGCAATTTTTTATTGGATAATACCACAATAAATCGAAGCCGATAAAATCGCAACTTATCTCGGTTACTGCTTCTTGGGAAGGAAGTAATGAATTTTATTAAAGAAACAGGATGTTCTCCTCGTGTTATAAAATTTTACTTTTCTGCTAACAAGGAAACATTTTCAACGATCTAACCCATTTTGTAATGTTGGTCTGCATAATTCCAAAGAGTACAGGCTGGTAAATTGCTCCTGCTAAAAACAGTTTCCCGTAACCCGCCATTCACTACCGCGGTGACTACATAACGCCTTCTAATAGCACAAAAATGCAAAACTGCTTGAAATTAATCCTTTAAGAAGTAGGGACTAGTTTTTGTCGAAATCTAAAACTCTGCATCTCTACGAAACTTGTAACTTCACCTTGACGAAAATTGTAGTTTTTGAAAATATTTGACTGCGCTACACATCTTTTTTTTCTGTAAAAGCTTACTGTTACTGCCTTCTTTAGAGGTGTAAATGGCCTTAGATGCTAAAGCACCGCTTTAAAATAAAATTATTTTACTACTACTACACATATACTTATGTGAAGAAAACGTTTCAAAATTTTTTAAACCCATACCGTTAAACATGGTTTTCCCTAATAAAAAAGAAGAGGAAAATAAAGTAATTTTCAAGATAGACGAGCGAATTGCGGAATTATTCAACAAATTACATGTTTTGTTATAAGAATGCTGAAACAAGATTTTGATACAGATCATATTTCAGCAGTATTAAATTTTCTCTTTTCGATGGCGCTTGCACATGTCTCGTGATGATTATATTTGCGCTTCTCGGTCTCTCAACGTGCGTGATGTCCGCCTTCATGGCTTCGAGCGAATTCTGCCATGCTAAGGAAAAACGCCGTATGAGCCTTCAGGCGTTGCCAAATTTCTCCTGGCAAATCTTCAATTTTCAGTAAAATGTTTGAATATTTGTCTACCAATTTCTCAGATAATTTTGTTTGTAATTTGAATTAGAACTTCTGAACATTTCAAGGGAAAATATTCATAATGTTCCTCAAAAATGAACATTTTATCGAAGGAATTTTGGCAACTCTCAAATGTTCATACGGCGTTCTTCCTTAGCACGGTAGAATTGCCAATGAACTTCTATGATCTGTGACTCGCGTCTGGATGGCTCCCACCCCGCTCAACTACCCGCGAGGCACTTTTCAACTGGCAGTAACGGTGGCGCTCTCTGAAGACTGTGGCCCGAACTAAAATGAACTTTCAGCGACTACTCCCTACCGCTCTGAATTGAATACGAACGTAAAATTACACTATCATACACATCCGTCTTGGCTAAAAAAGCCTAGAAACCAGGAATCAGACATAGTCAAAGTTTCTCCTCTTCATATCCCCAATTCGATTTTTAAAGTTTTTAAAATCACATTAGTGCTCTAGTACATTAGTGTGCAGGGATATTGATCTCTCTGATTATGGTTTTTTATTTGAATGAAAACGAAAAAAAAAGAAGTACAGCGGAAAGATTTGCGGTTGACTATACTCTTGACAGCAGGACTTAATCTGTTTATCCGATGAAGCATGGAACAACGATAAAAATGACGAAAATCTGAGAAATATCCGCCTCGTATGTCAATTTTGCCGTGCTAAGGAAAAACGCCGTATGAACCTTCGGGCGTTGCCAAATTTCCTTTGTCAAAACAAAAATTTACTGGTACACTTAGGAATACTTTCCTTCCAATTTTTCAGAGAATTTTGTTCGCAATATCATCCAAAGTTCCTGAAAAATTTCAAGGAAAACTACTCATAATTTTCCTCAAAAATAAACATTTTATTAAAGGAAATTTGACAATTATCGAATGTCTATACGGCGTTCTTCCATAGCACGGCAGTATTCTTCCATTCCATTTCGTTGTCAAGTTTGTTCCTTTTTGAAGAAAGTCACTCGGAAAATTCCAGACTTCTACTTGATCAAAAAACACATCACTTTTCAACCAATCAGGTTTTAGAGGTGACGAAGTGCTATAGGTATATTTCATTGTCAATATATTGCCAAAAATAATCGTGTGGAATATAAAGTTAAGGACAAAGCAATGACACTGAAACCTTTTGTTTCTAGTACTTACGCATTTTACGGCGGAAATACAAGCATCCAGTATCATATTTACGTAGGTTTCAGATCGGACTGATGGGAAAAATAATTGCTGTTACGTTTGATGAACCCAAAACGGAATTAAATCGGTCGTAAACCCGCCGTGGTCAACGCACCCGACCCATTCCGGTATGATTTGTATTTTTTGTCTCCGCTCGGCTCATAA